CACCCCCATCAACACTACCCTACACACCCCCATCAACACTACCCTACACACCCCCATCAACACTGCCCTACACACCCCCATCAACACTGCCCTTCACACCCCCATCAACACTGCCCTTCACACCCCCATCAACACTACCCTACACACCCCCATCAACACTGCCCTACACACCCCCATCAACACTGCCCTACACACCCCCATCAACACTGCCCTTCACACCCCCATCAACACTGCCCTTCACACCCCCATCAACACTACCCTACACACCCCCATCAACACTACCCTACACACCCCCATCAACACTGCCCTACACACCCCCATCAACACTACCCTACACACCCCCATCAACACTACCCTACACACCCCCATCCACGCGACCCTTCACACCCCCATCAACACTGCCCTTCACACCCCCATCAACACTGCCCTTCACACCCCCATCAACACTGCCCTTCACACCCCCATCAACACTACCCTACACACCCCCATCAACACTACCCTTCACATCCCATCAATATTGTCCTTCGCCTTATATATATATATATATCAGGTAAATAAATGTTTGTTTAAAATACATTAAATGTCAATATTGACCATTGAATATTGTATTAAACCTATCGTGTACTAATACTTTACTTGTATACTTATAGATTTGTCCGCCTATAATTTAACACCTCACACTCACACTCAGTGTGAGGTGTCAAATTATAATTATGCATAAATTATATACCCCATATATGTATATAATTTAAGGTATATAATTTACAGTGCATAATTGTAATTTAATCTAATTTAAGGTACATAATTTATGGTATATAAATTAAGGTATATAATTTAAGATATATAATTTAAAGTATATAATTTTAGGTATATAATTTAAGGTATATAACTATATTCCTACTCTATTGTTCATAGATCTTTTTAGATCTAGTTCATTTCCAATTCCAGAGATTAAACATGTTCTTAAAACTCCTTCTCATTCCAAAGGATATTTTTTACCTAGTGTTAAACAAGAATACGAAGATATAGCCCTCCAAACATTACTATCCTCTACATTACATTTCTACCCATATATGAAATATTGGCTGTTGGTTTCGGTCGATAATTATACGAATTAAATTTATTTACCTTTTTTTTGAAGGATATCAGAGATACGTTTGTATGTTTCCAGCCATTGGGATCTATTCATTTGTCGAAATCAGTGTTGAAGGAGCATGCAGGCCTACTTTGAGGTTACCCTGAGGTGCTTCCGGGGCTTAGCGTCCCCGCGGCCCGGTCGTCGACCAGGCCTTCAGCTTAGATATTTCTAGGGGAAAGATTAATTAGTGTATGTTAGGATCTACAGATAGTTCAAGGAATCTTAACCCATGGACTGACAATAACAGTATAGTGTTGGGAGATTTTATCGAAGGATAATTTGACTGGGAAACAATGGACTGTACAGGGCTGTGTTCTGGTACTTGTTCCACACTTGTGACTGTACTGGGTGGTGTTTTGGTCCTTGTTCCTCACATGTGACTGTACTGGGTGGTGTTCTGGTCCTTGTTCTTCACTTGTGACTGTACTGGGTGGTGTTCTGGTACTTGTTCCTCACTTGTGACTGTACTGGGTGGTGTTTTGGTCCTTGTTCCACACTTGTGACTGTACTGGGCGGTGTTCTGGTCCTTGTTCTTCACTTGTGACTGTACTGGGCGGTGTTCTGGTACTTGTTCCTCACTTGTGACTGTACTGGGTGGTGTTCTGGTCCTTGTTCCACACTTGTGACTGTACTGGGGCGGTGTTCTGGTCCTTGTTCTTCACTTGTGACTGTACTGGGTGGTGTTTTGGTCCTTGTTCCACACTTGTGACTGTACTGGGCGGTGTTCTGGTCCTTGTTCTTCACTTATGACTGTACTGGGGCGGTGTTCTGGTACTTGTTCCTCACTTGTGACTGTACTGGGCGGTGTTCTGGTCCTTGTTCTTCACTTGTGACTGTACTGGGTGGTGTTCTGGTCCTTGTTCTTCACTTATGACTGTACTGGGGCGGTGTTCTGGTCCTTGTTCCACACTTGTGACTGTACTGGGTGGTGTTCTGGTCCTTGTTCTTCACTTGTGACTGTACTGGGCGGTGTTCTGGTACTTGTTCTTCACTTGTGACTGTACTGGGCGGTGTTCTGGTACTTGTTCTTCACTTGTGACTGTACTGGGCGGTGTTCTGGTACTTGTTCCTCACTTGTGACTGTACTGGGTGGTGTTCTGGTCCTTGTTCTTCACTTGTGACTGTACTGGGCGGTGTTCTGGTCCTTGTTCTTCACTTGTGACTGTACTGGGTGGTGTTCTGGTCCTTGTTCTTCACTTGTGACTGTACTGGGCGGTGTTCTGGTCCTTGTTCTTCACTTGTGACTGTACTGGGTGGTGTTCTGGTCCTTGTTCTTCACTTGTGACTGTACTGGGCGGTGTTCTGGTCCTTGTTCTTCACTTGTGACTGTACTGGGCGGTGTTCTGGTCCTTGTTCTTCACTTGTGACTGTACTGGGTGGTGTTCTGGTCCTTGTTCTTCACTTGTGACTGTACTGGGCGGTGTTCTGGTCCTTGTTCTTCACTTGTGACTGTACTGGGTGGTGTTCTGGTCCTTGTTCTTCACTTGTGACTGTACTGGGCGGTGTTCTGGTCCTTGTTCTTCACTTGTGACTGTACTGGGTGGTGTTCTGGTCCTTGTTCTTCACTTGTGACTGTACTGGGCGGTGTTCTGGTACTTGTTCTTCACTTGTGACTGTACTGGGTGGTGTTCTGGTACTTGTTCCTCACTTGTGACTGTACTGGGCGGTGTTCTGGTCCTTGTTCCTCACTTGTGACTGTACTGGGTGGTGTTCTGGTCCTTGTTCTTCACTTGTGACTGTACTGGGTGGTGTTCTGGTACTTGTTCCTCACTTGTGACTGTACTGGGTGGTGTTCTGGTCCTTGTTCCTCACTTATGACTGTACTGGGGCGGTGTTCTGGTACTTGTTCCTCACTTGTGACTGTACTGGGTGGTGTTCTGGTCCTTGTTCTTCACTTGTGACTGTACTGGGCGGTGTTCTGGTCCTTGTTCTTCACTTGTGACTGTACTGGGTGGTGTTCTGGTACTTGTTCCTCACTTGTGACTGTACTGGGTGGTGTTCTGGTACTTGTTCCTCACTTGTGACTGTACTGGGCGGTGTTCTGGTCCTTGTTCCTCACTTGTGACTGTACTGGGTGGTGTTCTGGTCCTTGTTCTTCACTTGTGACTGTACTGGGTGGTGTTCTGGTCCTTGTTCTTCACTTGTGACTGTACTGGGTGGTGTTCTGGTCCTTGTTCTTCACTTGTGACTGTACTGGGTGGTGTTCTGGTACTTGTTCCTCACTTGTGACTGTACTGGGGCGGTGTTCTAGTCCTTGTTCTTCACTTGTGACTGTGTGACTGTCCACTATATTCATTTACTGAATATGCACAAGAAGAGCTCGCTGAACTGTGCGCAGCCTTAAACAGCCTGGATAATATTCCTTCTGCTCCAGGCAACTTGTTGGGCCTTAACTATTAAATTTGTTCAGTGGCATCTGTCTGGGTGTCACTGAATAGGAACAAACCTGTCCTCTCTCCCCCACATACCTGGATGCTGCAGGTGTAAGGAGGCATTAGTTTCAAATTTGCCAAAAATATGCAATAAATGAAAACTAGTTCGATTTTAATCAAACTTTTTTGACGAGTTGTATATGAAAAGGGTTTCATCTGATCCGAGTCTCAACATTGTAGCATAAATAGGAAGGGCGGAAAAAAATATTGAATTATGTGTCAAAATTTTCCAAAATGCTCAAAAATTACTATTAAACACAAGTGTCAACTGAAATCATCTCATGACTCTCAGCTATCACAATAGCATTTAATACAAAAATGTAATAATTAGTTTTATCATTTTTTTTTCGTATTTGTTTATCTGACGATTTGCATGAAACTTATACACCTGACTGCACGTGAGCCTATCTGTAAGGGTGCCAATTTGGGAAGAAATTGGTTGATGTCAACCTCAGCCACAGATGGCAGCACCTTAGACTTTTATTTTTAATTATTTATTTCAAGTAATATAAACGTAATCTCTAGTCTTTCATTTTTTATTCAATTTATATGAAACTTACACCTTATATGTGGAGTTCATGTCTCTACACCTTATATGTGGAGTTCATGTCTCTACACCTTATATGTGGAGTTCATGTCTCTACACCTTATATGTGGAGTTCATGTCTCTACAATCTGTATGAAGCGTTTTTTCCTAAGTTTATTTATTGATTTTTTAATAGTAATAAACATGATATATTTGCATAATTTTTTTTTTTTTTTGGGGGGGAGAACTTTGACTATTTGTATTAGTAAAACTAAACATGTTTTGGAAAATCCGCTCATTTAGATCCTTTATTATATGCTAATGTGATAGAAAAATGTCATAGAAATGATTTAATTTGAAATTTGTGGTTGTAGAGGCTTATTGAAAATGTGTAAAATTCGTTGAAAACAAAAATAAAATCTCGCTTTCCATTTAGGCTGCGACGCTGAAACTTAGAACAATTGCAACTTTTTTATATACAAATAGTCAAAACAGATTGGCTGACATTGACCAACTTTTACGAAACTAACTGAAGCCCCCCTAACACTATGCTTTTCTCTAGTAAATACTGAGACGCTGTGTGTCAAGTTATTGAGGCCGGGCATCTCAACACGCCTGTATATAACCTTTTTTGTCCTGATAATGTTTTTTAATCTCATGGTTATTCATTTAGGGTCACTGATATGCGACATAGTACGTTATATGGTATACTAGGTATATGGTATACTATATGGCATACTAATATGGTATACTAGCTATACTGAACGCTCGCTGTATACTCTGATATACTATATGGTATACTAGGTTCCTAGGCATAAGAACATCTAGCTCCTCACTTGAAGGAGTCTAGCTTCTTACCCTCCGTGTCTTGTTCTTGGTATTAATGATGTTGTTGTGTTGCCAGGGCGGTGAGATGGCGTCCCAGGACTGCCAGGTGTGCCTCGAGCCCTACGACGACAACATACGTCGCCCTCGCTGCCTCAGTTGCGGCCACACCTTCTGCACCTCCTGCATCGCCGACACCATCACCCGCGGACCTCTCTACTGCCCCTTCTGTCGCGTCATCCACGCCTCGCCCGTCTCCCGCGCTGACGATGTTCCTGTCAACTACACAGTGGTCAGTCTTCTGCAGGACTCGTCCTACTCCCTGGGGACGGAGAGGTCACTGGCACTGCTCTCCGAGCTGAAGAGAGAGGCTAACGACCTTACCACTGCCCAGTTAGTGACCTGTAACTGCCACCTCACGCGACTCACAGACTTCAAGAAGCGCCTTTCGGAGCAGCGAAGCGTGCATCAGGTGCAGATCCAGGCGCTGAAGACGCTGATAGAGAGGAACGAGAGCCTCCTGCAGGACATGACCAGCACCGAGGGACAGGTAGACAGCATCATCACCGCCGGCGTGGACAAGCGAGCAACGCTGGAGGTGGCGCAGGCGCGTGTCAACGCCGCCACCACGCTGCTGGAGGTCACGGCTGCCCACCACCAGGACCAGGAGAGGGACGGCTCCGTCCGGGAGTGGAGTTCCGCTGCCCACCAAATACTCCAATCCCAGATCCTCATCGCTGCCAGGGAGGTGAGTTACAGCCATAGGTCACTCTCAACGTTTATATGAGGGACAGTTGTGTCACTCACACAACCTTGAGCCCTTCCTAGCTGGTTAAGACATCCTTGAGCCATTCCTAGAAGGCTAAGACATCCTTGAGCGCTTCCTAGCTAGTTAGGACATCCTTCAGCCCTTCCTAGAAGGCTTGAACGCTTCCCAGCATGCTAAGACATCCTTGAGTTCTTTCCAGCAGGCTAAGACATCCTTGAGCTTTTCCAAGCATACTAAGACATCCTTGAGCTCTTCACAGCTGGCTAAGACTTCCTTGAACGCTTCCCAGCTGGCTAAGACATCCTTGAGCTCTTCCCAGCATGCTAAAACATCCTTGAGCTCTTTTCAAGCAGGAAAAGATATCCTTAAGCGCTTTTCAAACAAGAAAAGACATCCTTGAGGTCTTCCCAGTAACCTAAGACATTCTTGAATTTTTCTCAGCAGTCTAAGACATCCTTGAGCTCTTCCCAGCAGGCAAAGACATTCTTGAACACTTCTCAAGCAGGCTAAGATATCCTTGAACGCTTCCCAGCTGGCTAAGACATTCTTGAGCTCTTCCCAGCATGCTAAGACATGCTTGAGCTCTTTTCAAGCAGGAAAAGACATCCTTGAGCGCTTTTCAAACAGAAAAAGACATCCTTGAGGATGTCTTTTCCTTTGTTTCCTTTAATTTTTTCCTTCCCAGTAAAGCTAAGACATTCTTGAGTTCTTCTCAGCAGGCAAAGACATTCTTGAACTCTTCTCAAGCAGGCTAAGACATCATTGAGCTCTTTCCAGCAGACTAAGACATCCTTGAGCTTTTCCCAGCAGGCAAAGACATCCTTAAGCTCTTCCCAGCAGACAAAGACATTCTTGAGCTCTTCCCAACTGTGTTTCATAATCATTTTCAGAAGTGTTTTTTTTTCAGGTCTTTGATATTGTTCTCCGTCTCGAGGGCCTATATAGCTCTGCTCTGTAACTTCGAGCGACTTGTGGGCCAGGCCCCCTTCCTGCCTCCTTCCTCACACAGTGTCCTGCCTCCTACCTCACACAGTGGCCTGCCTCCTTCCTCACACAGTGTCCAGCCTCCTTCCTCACACAGTGCCCAGCCTCCTTCCTCACACAGTGTCCTGCCTCCTTCCTCACACAGTGCCCTGCCTCCTTCCTCACACAGTGCCCAGCCTCCTTCCTCACACAGTGCCCAGCCTCCTTCCTCACACAGTGTCCTGCCTCCTTCCTCACACAGTGCCCTGCCTCCTTCCTCACACAGTGCCCAGCCTCCTTCCTCACACAGTGCCCTGCCTCCTTCCTCACACAGTGCCCTGCCTCCTTCCTCACACAGTGCCCAGCCTCCTTCCTCACACAGTGTCCTGCCTCCTTCCTCACACAGTGTCCTGCCTCCTTCCTCACACAGTGTCCTGCCTCCTTCCTCACACAGTGTCCAGCCTCCTTCCTCACACAGTGTCCAGCCTCCTTCCTCACACAGTGTCCTGCCTCCTTCCTCACACAGTGCCCTGCCTCCTTCCTCACACAGTGCCCAGCCTCCTTCCTCACACAGTGCCCAGCCTCCTTCCTCACACAGTGCCCAGCCTCCTTCCTCACACAGTGCCCAGCCTCCTTCCTCACACAGTGCCCAGCCTCCTTCCTCACACAGTGGCCTGCCTCCTTCCTCACACAGTGCCCTGCCTCCTTCCTCACACAGTGCCCTGCCTCCTTCCTCACACAGTGGCCTGCCTCCTTCCTCACACAGTGCCCAGCCTCCTTCCTCACACAGTGTCCTGCCTCCTTCCTCACACAGTGTCCTGCCTCCTTCCTCACACAGTGCCCTGCCTCCTTCCTCACACAGTGTCCTGCCTCCTTCCTCACACAGTGCCCAGCCTCCTTCCTCACACAGTGCCCAGCCTCCTTCCTCACACAGTGCCCAGCCTCCTTCCTCACACAGTGTCCTGCCTCCTTCCTCACACAGTGGCCTGCCTCCTTCCTCACACAGTGCCCAGCCTCCTTCCTCACACAGTGTCCTGCCTCCTTCCTCACACAGTGCCCTGCCTCCTTCCTCACACAGTGTCCTGCCTCCTTCCTCACACAGTGCCCTGCCTCCTTCCTCACACAGTGTCCTGCCTCCTTCCTCACACAGTGCCCAGCCTCCTTCCTCACACAGTGCCCAGCCTCCTTCCTCACACAGTGCCCAGCCTCCTTCCTCACACAGTGTCCTGCCTCCTTCCTCACACAGTGCCCTGCCTCCTTCCTCACACAGTGTCCTGCCTCCTTCCTCACACAGTGCCCTGCCTCCTTCCTCACACAGTGTCCTGCCTCCTTCCTCACACAGTGCCCAGCCTCCTTCCTCACACAGTGCCCAGCCTCCTTCCTCACACAGTGCCCAGCCTCCTTCCTCACACAGTGTCCTGCCTCCTTCCTCACACAGTGTCCTGCCTCGTTCCTCACACAGTGCCCAGCCTCCTTCCTCACACAGTGTCCTCACACAGTGCCCAGCCTCCTTCCTCACACAGTGCCCAGCCTCCTTCCTCACACAGTGTCCTGCCTCCTTCCTCACACAGTGTCCTGCCTCCTTCCTCACACAGTGCCCAGCCTCCTTCCTCACACAGTGCCCAGCCTCCTTCCTCACACAGTGTCCTGCCTCCTTCCTCACACAGTGTCCTGCCTCGTTCCTCACACAGTGCCCAGCCTCCTTCCTCACACAGTGTCCTGCCTCCTTCCTCACACAGTGCCCAGCCTCCTTCCTCACACAGTGTCCTGCCTCCTTCCTCACACAGTGCCCAGCCTCCTTCCTCACACAGTGTCCTGCCTCCTTCCTCACACAGTGTCCTGCCTCCTTCCTCACACAGTGCCCTGCCTCCTTCCTCACACAGTGGCCTGCCTCCTTCCTCACACAGTGCCCAGCCTCCTTCCTCACACAGTGTCCTGCCTCCTTCCTCACACAGTGTCCTGCCTCCTTCCTCACACAGTGCCCTGCCTCCTTCCTCACACAGTGGCCTGCCTCCTTCCTCACACAGTGCCCAGCCTCCTTACTCACACAGTGGCCTGCCTCCTTCCTCACACAGTGCCCAGCCTCCTTCCTCACACAGTGCCCAGCCTCCTTCCTCACACAGTGTCCTGCCTCCTTCCTCACACAGTGTCCTGCCTCCTTCCTCACACAGTGTCCTGCCTCCTTCCTCACACAGTGTCCTGCCTCCTTCCTCACACAGTGTCCAGCCTCCTTCCTCACACAGTGCCCAGCCTCCTTCCTCACACAGTGCCCAGCCTCCTTCCTCACACAGTGTCCTGCCTCCTTCCTCACACAGTGTCCAGCCTCCTTCCTCACACAGTGCCCAGCCTCCTTCCTCACACAGTGTCCTGCCTCCTTCCTCACACAGTGTCCTGCCTCCTTCCTCACACAGTGCCCAGCCTCCTTCCTCACATACTTATTTTCTCCTCCCTCATTTTATATTCATCTTCTCAATTTCCTTGAGCTGGTACCAGGAGCCCAAGAGATCCTTGAGCTGGTACCAGGAGCCCAATAGATCCATGAGCTGGTACCAGGAGCCCAAGAGATCCTTGAGCTGGTACCAGGAGCCCAAGAGATCCTTAAGCTGGTACCAGGAGCCCAAGATATCCTTGAGCTGGTACCAGGAGCCCAGTAGATCCGTGAGCTGGTACCAGGAGCCCAAGAGATCCTTAAGCTGGTACCAGGAGTCCAAGAGATCCTTGAGCTGGTACCAGGAGCCCAAGAGATCCTTGAGCTGGTACCAGGAGCCCAAGAGATCCTTGAGCTGGTACCAGGAGCCCAGTAGATCCTTGAGCTGGTACCAGGAGACCAATAGATCCTTGAGGTGGTACCAGGAGCCCAATAGATTCTTGAGCTGGTACCAGGAGACCAATAGATCCTTGAGGTGGTACCAGGAGTCCAATAGATCCTTGAGCTGGTACCAGGAGCCCAATAGATCCATGAGCTGGTACCAGGAGCCCAAGAGATCCTTGAGCTGGTACCAGGAGACCAATAGATCCATGAGCTGGTACCAGGAGCCCAGTAGATCCTTGAGCTGGTACCAGGAGCCCAATAGATCCTTGAGCTGGTACCAGGATACCAATAGATCCTTGAGCTGGTACCAGGAGCCCAGTAGATCCTTGAGCTGGTACCAGGAGCCCAATAGATCCTTGAGCTGGTACCAGGAGCCCAATAGATCCTTGAGCTGGTACCAGGAGCCCAATAGATCCTTAAGCTGGTACCAGGAGCCCAAGAGATCCTTGAGCTGGTACCAGGAGCCCAGTAGATCCTTGAGCTGGTACCAGGAGCCCAATAGATCCTTGAGCTGGTACCAGGAGCCCAATGGATCCTTGAGCTGGTACCAGGAGCCCAAGAGATCCTTGAGCTGGTACCAGGAGCCCAGTAGATCCTTGAGCTGGTACCAGGAGCCCAGTAGATCCTTGAGCTGGTACCAGGAGCCCAAGAGATCCTTGAGCTGGTACCAGGAGACCAATAGATCCATGAGCTGGTACCAGGAGACCAATAGATCCTTGAGCTGGTACCAGGAGCCCAGTAGATCCTTGAGCTGGTACCAGGAGCCCAGTAGATCCTTGAGCTGGTACCAGGAGCCCAAGAGATCCTTGAGCTGGTACCAGGAGACCAATAGATCCATGAGCTGGTACCAGGAGCCCAAGAGATCCTTGAGCTGGTACCAGGAGCCCAGTAGATCCTTGAGCTGGTACCAGGAGACCAATAGATCCTTGAGCTGGTACCAGGAGCCCAGTAGATCCTTGAGCTGGTACCAGGAGCCCAGTAGATCCTTGAGCTGGTACCAGGAGCCCAATAGATCCTTGAGCTGGTACCAGGAGACTAATAGATCCTTGAGCTGGTACCAGGAGCCCAATAGATCCTTGAGCTGGTACCAGGAGCCCAAGATAACAATAAGCAATGTAAGAGCAAAGGACAGGGAAGGTGTAGTGTTGTCGTGGTGATGTCTTATACCGGATGGTGTCCCGCAGGTGGAGCACGTCACCACCGCCGCCCTGCAAGCCGTGGTGGGCCGCAGCATGTCCGCAGCCGCAGCCGCCCTCACACCCACGAAGCCGCAGGTCAGTCTCTCACACCCACCAAGACCCTGGTCAGTCCCTCACACCCACCAAGACCCTGGTCAGTCCCTCACACACCCACCAAGACCCTGGTCAGTCCTTCACACCCACCAAGACCCTGGTCAGTCCCTCACACACCCACCAAGACCCTGGTCAGTCCTTCACACCCACCAAGACCCTGGTCAGTCCCTCACACACCCACCAAGACCCTGGTCAGTCCTTCACACCCACCAAGACCCTGGTCAGTCCCTCACACCCACCAAAACCCTGGTCAGTCCCACACACACCCACCAAGACCCTAGTCAGTCCTTCACACCCACCAAGACCCTGGTCAGTCCCTCACACCCACCAAGACCCTGGTCAGTCCCTCACACACCCACCAAGACCCTGGTCAGTCCCACACTCACCCACCAAGACCCTGGTCAGTCCCTCACACCCACCAAGACCCTGGTCAGTCCCTCACACCCACCAAGACCCTGGTCAGTCCCTCACACCCCCACCAAGACCCTGGTCAGTCCCACACACCCACCAAGACCCTGGTCAGTCCCTCACACCCACCAAGACCCTGGTCAGTCCCACACACACCCACCAAGACCCTGGTCAGTCCCTCACACCCACCAAGACCCTGGTCAGTCTCTCACACGCACCAAGACCCTGGTCAGTCCCTCACACCCACCAAGACCCTGGTCAGTCCCACACACACCCACCAAGACCCTGGTCAGTCCCTCACACCCCCACCAAGACCCTGGTCAGTCCCACACACCCACCAAGACCCTGGTCAGTCCCTCACACCCACCAAGACCCTGGTCAGTCCCACACACACCCACCAAGACCCTGGTCAGTCCCACACACACCCACCTAGACCCTTGTCAGTCCCTCACACCCACCAAGACCCTTGTCAGTCCCACACACACCCACCAAGACCCTGTTCAGTCCCACACCCACCCACCAAGACCCTGGTCAGTCCCACACACACCCACCAAGACCCTGGTCAGTCCCTCACACCCACCAAGACCCCTGGTCAGTCCCTCACACCCACCAAGACCCTGGTCAGTCTCTCACACGCACCAAGACCCTGGTCAGTCCCTCACTCCCACCAAGACCCTGGTCAGTCCCACACACACCCACCAAGACCCTGGTCAGTCCCACACCCACCCACCAAGACCCTGTCAGTCAACACATCCACCAAGACCCTGGTCAGTCCCACACACACCCACCAAGACCCTGGTCAGTCCCTCACACCCCCACCAGGACCCTGGTCAGTCCCACACACCCACCAAGACCCTGGTCAGTCCCTCACACCCACCAAGACCCTGGTCAGTCCCACACACACACACCAAGACCCTGGTCAGTCCCTCACACCCTCCAAGACCCTGGTCAGTCCCACACACACCCACCAAGACCCTGGTCAGTCCCACACACACCCACCTAGACCCTTGTCAGTCCCTCACACCCACCAAGACCCTTGTCAGTCCCACACCCACCCACCAAGACCCTGTTCAGTCCCACACCCACCCACCAAGACCCTGGTCAGTCCCACACCCACCCACCAAGACCCTGGTCAGTCCCACCCACCCACCAAGACCCTGGCCAGTCCCACACCCACCCACCAAGACCCTGGTCAGTCCCACACCCACCCACCAAGACCCTGGTCAGTCCCTCACACACCTGACATAAGCGCAGACTCACACATACAACAGTATGACATTTAATGCTGCTCACCTCGAGAATAAGTTACATTCCTGGCCAGTCATGTTAGGTAGCTATAGGGTGACTCGGTCAGAATGCCATAGCGAGAAGAAACAACAGGTGAGCAATATTCTCATCTCTTTATTTAACTTGCCAATATTTCCTCTGATATAGCTGTCATATTAGGGTTACTGCCATTATTGTGAGTGGCCTTAGACAGGTGTAATTGAAGATTAAGAAGAATTAACACTAGTTACCTGGTACACCAGTATAAATGTTGATGCCAGCCTCAACCACCAGGATTATTTAGTGTGTTCATTCTTGTTCATAACTGGTGGACCAGACCCACTATATTAAGATAAGGCCTCCCCATTTAGCTACTAATATATATAGTATAATACTGTAGTGAATGTCTACTAACCAATAATTTATACTGATGACTATATATAAACCACAAACCTCCCATAATGTGTAAGGAAAGTGATTTGTGAGAATTTTCAATCATACAGCCCAATTTAAATATCAAACAGTTTGCTATCGAAAATTATAAATTAACGTAAATTATAAATTACTATATAAATTAATATAAACTAAATAAATAAAAATCTCACAGGTCAGTTTCCCCACAGATATATACAGACGAGTAAGATTACTTATATTTTACTGTTCCATGTAAGTCTGCCCAACCACTTGGACTGGACGGTAGAGCGACGGTCTCGCTTCATACAGGCCGGCGTTCAATCCCCGACCGTCCAAGTGATTAGACACAATTCCTTTCCCCCGTCCCATCCCAAGTCCTTATCCTTACCCCTTCCCAGTGGTACATAGTCACGCTTTGGTCTTGATAATTGGTCTTACGGGCTCACCATAGCCCGTGCTACATAGACACTTCCTTCTGAGTAGTTAAATGTAAGACAACAACAACTTGATAGTTCCGTTCCGCTTCGCATGCCAGTCGTCTGACGACCTGCCGGACACGTGGAAGATCCTGCAGGAGGTGATGAGCAAGGCGCGGCTGGTCGGGACGGGCGTCTGGGCTGTCATGGACATTGACGGACGACGACGTTGTGCTAAGATGGTCACAGTCGACGACCGTCTCTACCTCTCAGCGCTCAGAGAGGGAGATCCTCCCATCTACACCCACACAATGCCTGTGAGTTACCATCTACACCCACACAATGCCTGTGAGTTACCATCTACACCCACACAATGCCTGTGAGTTACCATCTACACCCACACAATGCCTGTGAGTTACCATCTACACCCACACAATGCCTGTGAGTTACCATCTACACCCACACAATGCCTGTGAGTTACCATCTACACCCACACAATGCCTGTGAGTTACCATCTACACCCACACAATGCCTGTGAGTTACCATCTACACCCACACAATGCCTGTGAGTTACCATCTACACCCACACAATGCCTGTGAGTTACCATCTACACCCACACAATGCCCGTGAAATGAAATAGAAATGTTGGTTATTAAACATATTTTGAATTATTGAACGACAGTATGTAGAGCTCAGAGCTCCAGTCATGGAGCCCCAGAGCATCTAGTCATCTCACGCCACACCTACTCTGTTTCTTAGGTTTAATGAAGACTCTTGTTTAGTGTACATTAAGGTATATCCACTCTTATGTTGCCGAGTCTACTTGCCAAGTTTCATAATTCACTTTGCTCACAAATATGGCTACTTAATGCTAAAAGATCGCCACTCAGTGTTCTCTAATATTGACAATCATGTCTCACCAATATGACCAGTAAGTACTGTCCAATATGGCAATTCAGTACTTTCCAGTATGATCAATGAGTACTCACCAATACGTCTAGTCAGTATCCTCTATAATAACCATCCAGTTCTCAGCAGTATGACCAGTAAGTACTGTCCAATATGGCAATTCAGTACTTTCCAGTATGATCAATGAGTACTCACCAATACGTCTAGTCAGTATCCTCTACAATAACCATCCAGTTCTCAGCAGTATGACCAGTCAGTATTTTTCAATATGGCCACTCAATACGCTCCGACAAGGTCACTTTACTTCAGTAAAGCAACTCAGTATTCTCTGAAATAGCCAATCAGTTTCCTCCGATATGGCCGAGTTAGTACTCCTTAAAATGGCTAGATAGCACTCTCTAATATGATCATTTAGTACTTTCTAGTATGACCATTTAGTACTCTCCAATATAGACACTCAGTCAAAACTCCTCGATATTTTAGATTAGTAATTTTTACTTCCTGATCCTTCCTTACTGCATGAATAATTGTTCATTCTGTTTTGACCTATTTGTATAATGAAAAAATGAACTAATCTTAACAAAATCAGTAACGGTGCATTATAATGAAATGTTGAGAATGATGGAGTCTGATTTGGATTGCAGTACCGCAACGTGCGTCGCCTGGTCGACGAGACGTGCGTCAGGATCTTCCTGGAGCTGACGTGGGGCGGTAAGGTGCAAGGGAAAGTGTGCATCAAGCTGCTCAACACGGCACCGAGGACACGGCAGTTCTTCTTCCTGTGCTCCGGAGAGCGCGGTCCATCTTACAGCAGCACCAGCTTCTTCGAAGTGGAGAGCCGCGGACAGCCCGGCGAGCGGGTGTGGGGCGGAGACTACGAGAACAACGATGGCAGCGGCGGGTCCGCTCTCCCGGGCCTTATCATGGGCGACCTCAACGTCCAGACGGTCACGGCGGGACTGGTGGCCGGGTACTGCTACGGCGACGAACACCGCAAGCCGTCACACTTCGTCATTTACAATAATGACTGTCCTGTCGCCTACGAAGAGTGCCCCATTGGCAAGGTGGAAAGTGGGATGGATTTAGTTCGTGCGGCGGCCAAGCTGGCGAATGTACAAGAAGCCATTGTTAGTGACTGTGGCATTGTACTCTCTATCTAACACATCCACCTCAGTCTTGCCTCGGCAAGAAAAAGTCACTTAATGAATTTTTGATCCGCCTTCTTTAACCTATAATCTGATATGAATTTGTTTCCTTTTGGGTTCAAGGTTTCGCTCACCGAGAGTCGGACATTTGCAGTTGTTTCTGACCATGAGTTAATTGTGAGAAGCATCGTGAGAGGAAACACTGTGTGAGTGAATATCTCGCGAAGTTCAACACTGACTGTTTATGAGTGAAGGAGCGACTGTATATTATGGTTATAATGAGTGGAGTTACAGAGTGGTTCGGGCTGAGGCCAGACGCATAACGGAGTATACAACACACCACGTCCATTTTCCCTGAGAAATTAACCCAGAAATATTTGTCAAATTTCTTAAACAAATTGCGATTATAAGTTCACTCTCAAGCATGTATGTTTCTTGGTTTTTCTTAAATTATCACTGTATTTAGATATATGTTAGAGTATCTTATCCTTGTGGACGGGCCGCTTCCCTGAAGTCTTCACACACTACTTGCCTCTCTCTCTACACCCAGAAGGAGGCATTTTTGCTCCAGCTGCAACATAATTGTTGTAATCTTTTCCCCAGATCCTGTCCCTCTGTGTACGTGTTTTCGTGTGAATGTGTGTCTGTGCGCATCACCCAATCTGTGTTTACCTGTACTTACACGAAATAGGATTCGGCTCCTAGGCCCCGCCTCTGTTCTTGTCCCTAACACAACTGGCATTATCACGTCTACTTTTAAGTCTACGTATGGATGTTATTGTTGGTTTAGATTCAGCTTCTCGGAACAAAAGGTTGCAAGCAGCACGGGCTATGGTGAGCCCATTGTACTCACCTGGCACAGTAGATGTGCGTGCCACATATGGAGCCTACCTGAGCTGCTTCCATGATTAGTCACGCAATCGCCAACCCGACGCTAACGCAAGTAATGCTAATATCCCTGTAACTTTATTAGTTTCTTAATGTCAAGCAGTACTCCCTCGTCCTGTTATCTTCGATGCCATATTGCCCGTCCTCCCAGTTAATTCTATGATCATTTTATAGCTATGACTCGTCCCAGCAATATTCTCGTTCAGTGACGCTACTTTCAATATTCTCTTAGGGCACATCTCTCAGCTTTGGATCTAGTCTGTGGGGCACACATCCGCCTGCCAGTGTTAATGCTCCAGACACTGCCTGCCAGTGTAAATGCTCCAGACACTGCCTGCCAGTGTAAATGCTCCAGACACTGCCTGCCAGTGTTAATGCTCCAGACACTGCCTGCCAGTGTAAATGCTCCAAACACTGCCTGCCAGTGTTAATGCTCCAGACACTGCCTGCCAGTGTAAATGCTCCAGACACTGCCTGCCAGTATAAATGCTCCAGACACTGCCTGCCAGTGTAAATGCTCCAGACACTGCCTACCAGTGTAAATGCTCCAGACACTGCCTGCCAGTGTTAATGCTCCAGACACTGCCTGCCAGTGTTAATGCTCCAGACACTGCCTGCCAGTGTAAAAGCTCCAGACACTGCCTGCCAGTGTTAATGCTCCAGACACTGCCTGCCAGTGTAAAAGCTCCAGACACTGCCTGCCAGTGTTAATGCTCCAGACACTGCCTGCCAGAGTCAATGCTCCAGACACTGCCTGCCAGTGTAAATGCTCCAGACACTGCCTGCCAGTGTTAATGCTCCAGACACTGCCTGCCAGTGTTAATGCTCCAGACACTGCCTGCCAGAGTCAATGCTCCAGACACTGCCTGCCAGTGTAAATGCTCCAGACACTGCCTGCCAGTGTTAATGCTCCAGACACTGCCTGCCAGTGTAAATGCTCCAGACACTGCCTGCCAGTGTTAATGCTCCAGACACTGCCTGCCAGTGTTAATGCTCCAGACACTGTCTGCCAGTGTTAATGCTCCAGACACTGCCTGCCAGAGTCAATGCTCCAGACACTGCCTGCCAGTGTAAATGCTCCAGACACTGCCTGCCAGAGTCAATGCTCCAGACACTGCCTGCCAGTGTAAATGCTCCAGACACTGCCTGCCAGAGTCAATGCTCCAGACACTGCCTGCCAGAGTCAATGCTCCAGACACTGCCTGCCAGTGTAAATGCTCCAGACACTGCCTGCCAGTGTTAATGCTCCAGACACTGCCTGCCAGAGTCAATGCTCCAGACACTGCCTGCCAGTGTAAATGCTCCAGACACTGCCTGCCAGAGTCAATGCTCCAGACACTGCCTGCCAGAGTCAATGCTCCAGACACTGCCTGCCAGTGTTAATGCTCCAGACACTGCCTGCCAGAGTCAATGCTCCAGACACTGCCTGCCAGTGTAAAAGCTCCAGACACTGCCTGCCAGAGTCAATGCTCCAGACACTGCCTGCCAGTGTTAATGCTCCAGACACTGCCTGCCAGTGTTAATGCTCCAGACACTGCCTGCCAGAGTCAATGCTCCAGACACTGCCTGCCAGTGTTAATGCTCCAGACACTGCCTGCCAGTGTTAATGCTCCAGACACTGCCTGCCAGAGTCAATGCTCCAGACACTGCCTGCCAGAGTCAATGCTCCAGACACTGCCTGCCAGAGTCAATGCTCCAGACACTGCCTGCCAGTGTTAATGCTCCAGACACTGCCTGCCAGTGTTAATGCTCCAGACACTGCTGCCAGTGTCACCGTAACTGTGTGTGGGAACAGTTGCGTGGGTGAGGGGGGCCACGAACGCTGCCTGAGAGACACAATTGTTGTTGCTTCAGAGAGCCAAATGTTAAGTCAAATTTAAACTCGAGTCGAAAGTTGTACAACGAGGACAGACAGTGTGAGGTGAGGACAGATAGTGTGAGGTGAGGACAGTGTGAGGTGAGGACAGTGTGAGGTGAGGACAGTGTGAGGTGAGGACAGTGTGAGGTGAGGACAGTGTGAGGTGAGGACAGTGTGAGGTGAGGACAGTGTGAGGTGAGGACAGTGTGAGGTGAGGACAGTGTGAGGTGAGGACAGTGTGAGGTGAGGACAGTGTGAGGTGAGGACAGTGTGAGGTGAGGACAGTGTGAGGTGAGGACAGTGTGAGGTGAGGACAGTGTGATGTGAGGACAGTGTGAGGTGATGACAGTGTGTGAGGTGAGGACAGTGTGAGGTGAGGACAGTGTGAGGTGAGGACAGTGTGAGGTGAGGACAGTGTGAGGTGAGGACAGTGTGAGGTGAGGACAGTGTGAGGTGAGGACAGATGTGTGAGGTGAGGACAGTGTGAGGTGAGGACAGTGTGAGGTGAGGACAGTGTGAGGTGAGGACAGTGTGAGGTGAGGACAGTGTGAGGTGAGGACAGTGTGAGGTGAGGACAGTGTGAGGTGAGGACAGATAGTGTGAGGTGAGGACAGTGTGAGGTGAGGACAGTGTGAGGTGAGGACAGTGTGAGGTGAGGACAGTGTGAGGTGAGGACAGTGTGAGGTGAGGACAGTGTGAGGTGAGGACAGTGTGAGGTGAGGACAGATAGTGTGAGGTGAGGACAGTGTGAGGTGAGGACAGTGTGAGGTGAGGACAGTGTGAGGTGAGGACAGTGTGAGGTGAGGACAGTGTGAGGTGAGGACAGTGTGAGGTGAGGACAGTGTGAGGTGAGGACAGTGTGAGGTGAGGACAGTGTGAGGTGAGGACAGTGTGAGGTGAGGACAGTGTGAGGTGAGGACAGTGTGAGGTGAGGACAGTGTGAGGTGAGGACAGTGTGAGGTGAGGACAGTGTGAGGTGAGGACAGTGTGAGGTGAGGACAGTGTGAGGTGAGGACAGTGTGAGGTGAGGACAGTGTGAGGTGAGGACAGTGTGAGGTGAGGACAGTGTGAGGTGAGGACAGTGTGAGGTGAGGACAGTGTGAGGTGAGGACAGTGTGAGGTGAGGACAGTGTGAGGTGAGGACAGTGTGAGGTGAGGACAGTGTGAGGTGAGGACAGTGTGAGGTGAGGTGAGGACAGTGTGAGGTGAGGACAGTGTGAGGTGAGGACAGTGTGAGGTGAGGACAGTGTGAGGTGAGGACAGTGTGAGGTGAGGACAGTGTGAGGTGAGGACAGTGTGAGGTGAGGACAGTGTGAGGTGAGGACAGTGTGAGGTGAGGACAGTGTGTGAGGTGAGGACAGTGTGAGGTGAGGACAGAGGTGAGGACAGTGTGAGGTGAGTGTGAGGTGAGGACAGTGAGTGAGGTGAGGACAGTGTGAGGTGAGGACAGTGTGAGGTGAGTGTGTGAGGTGAGGACAGTGTGAGGTGAGGACAGTGTGAGGTGAGGACAGATAGTGTGAGGTGAGGACAGTGTGAGGTGAGGACAGTGTGAGGTGAGGACAGTGTGAGGTGAGGACAGTGTGAGGTGAGGACAGTGTGAGGTGAGGACAGTGAGGACAGTGTGAGGTGAGGACAGTGTGAGGTGAGGACAGTGTGAGGTGAGGACAGTGTGAGGTGAGGACAGTGTGAGGTGAGGTGTGAGGTGAGGACAGTGTGAGGTGAGGACAGTGTGAGGTGAGGACAGTGTGAGGTGAGGACAGTGTGAGGTGAGGACAGTGTGAGGTGAGGACAGTGTGAGGTGGAGGGACAGTGTGAGGTGAGGACAGTGTGAGGTGAGGACAGTGTGAGGTGAGGACAGTGTGAGGTGAGGACAGTGTGAGGTGAGGACAGATAGTGTGAGGTGAGGACAGTGTGAGGTGAGGACAGTGTGAGGTGAGGACAGATAGTGTGAGGTGAGGACAGTGTGAGGTGAGGACAGATAGTGTGAGGTGAGGACAGTGTGAGGTGAGGACAGTGTGAGGTGAGGACAGTGTGAGGTGAGGACAGTGTGAGGTGAGGACAGTGTGAGGTGAGGACAGTGTGAGGTGAGGACAGTGTGAGGTGAGGACAGTGTGAGGTGAGGACAGTGTGAGGTGAGGACAGTGTGAGGTGAGGACAGTGTGAGGTGAGGACAGATAGTGTGAGGTGAGGACAGTGTGAGGTGAGGACAGATAGTGTGAGGTGAGGACAGTGTGAGGTGAGGACAGATAGTGTGAGGTGAGGACAGTGTGAGGTGAGGACAGTGTGTGAGGTGAGGACAGTGTGAGGTGAGGACAGTGTGAGGTGAGGACAGTGAGTGTGTGAGGTGAGGACAGTGTGAGGTGAGGACAGTGTGAGGTAGTGTGAGGTGAGGACAGTGTGAGGTGAGGACAGTGTGAGGTGAGGACAGATGTGAGGTGAGGACAGTGTGAGGTGAGGACAGATAGTGTGAGGTGAGGACAGTGTGAGGTGAGGACAGATGTGTGAGGTGAGGACAGTGTGAGGTGAGGACAGATGTGTGAGGTGAGGACAGTGTGAGGTGAGGACAGTGTGAGGTGAGGACAGTGTGAGGTGAGGACAGTGTGAGGTGAGGACAGATAGTGTGAGGTGAGGACAGTGTGAGGTGAGGACAGATAGTGTGAGGTGAGGACAGTGTGAGGTGAGGACAGTGTGAGGTGAGGACAGTGTGAGGTGAGGACAGTGTGAGGTGAGGTGAGGACAGTGTGAGGTGAGGACAGTGTGAGGTGAGGACAGTGTGAGGTGAGGACAGTGTGAGGTGAGGACAGATAGTGTGAGGTGAGGACAGTGTGAGGTGAGGACAGATAGTGTGAGGTGAGGACAGTGTGAGGTGAGGACAGATAGTGTGAGGTGAGGACAGTGTGAGGTGAGGACAGATAGTGTGAGGTGAGGACAGTGTGAGGTGAGGACAGTGTGAGGTGAGGACAGTGTGAGGTGAGGACAGTGTGAGGTGAGGACAGTGTGAGGTGAGGACAGTGTGAGGTGAGGACAGTGTGAGGTGGAGGGACAGTGTGAGGTGAGGACAGTGTGAGGTGAGGACAGTGTGAGGTGAGGACAGATAGTGTGAGGTGAGGACAGTGTGAGGTGAGGACAGTGTGAGGTGAGGACAGTGTGAGGTGAGGACAGTGTGAGGTGAGGACAGATAGTGTGAGGTGAGGACAGTGTGAGGTGAGGACAGTGTGAGGTGAGGACAGTGTGAGGTGAGGACAGTGTGAGGTGAGGACAGTGTGAGGTGAGGACAGTGTGAGGTGAGGACAGTGTGAGGTGAGGACAGTGTGAGGTGAGGACAGTGTGAGGTGAGGACAGTGTGAGGTGAGGACAGTGTGAGGTGAGGACAGGAGACGATGAGGTAGATGCAAGAGAGCTGCACTCACTACAGCAAAGTGGGTCATGTGTCCTCGCTTGTAGGAGGCTGTGTCCTCGCTTGTAGGAGGCTGTGTCCTCGCTTGTAGGAGGCTGTGTCCTCCCATACAGGAGGCTGTGTCCTCCCATACAGGAGGCTGTGTCCTCCCATACAGGAGGCTGTGTCCTCGCTTGCAGGAGGCTGTGTCCTCGCTTGTAGGAGGCTGTGTCCTCCCATACAGGAGGCTGTGTCCTCGCTTGTAGGAGGCTGTGTCCTCGCTTGTAGGAGGCTGTGTCCTCGCTTGTAGGAGGCTGTGTCCTCCCATACAGGAGGCTGTGTCCTCGCTTGTAGGAGGCTGTGTCCTCGCTTGTAGGAGGCTGTGTCCTCGCTTGTAGGAGGCTGTGTCCTCCCATACAGGAGGCTGTGTCCTCCCATACAGGAGGCTGTGTCCTCGCTTGCAGGAGGCTGTGTCCTCCCATACAGGAGGCTGTGTCCTCGCTTGTAGGAGGCTGTGTCCTCGCTTGTAGGAGGCTGTGTCCTCGCTTGTAGGAGGCTGTGGTCTCGCTTGTAGGAGGCTGTGTCCTCCCATACAGGAGGCTGTGTCCTCGCTTGTAGGAGGCTGTGTCCTCCCATACAGGAGGCTGTGTCCTCGCTTGTAGGAGGCTGTGTCCTCCCATACAGGAGGCTGTGTCCTCGCTTGTAGGAGGCTGTGTCCTCCCATACAGGAGGCTGTGTCCTCCCATACAGGAGGCTGTGTCCTCAAGAGACCTCCAGCCCCAGATCCTGTAGGAACACTGTGTTCTCTCCTTATAGTCCCACTACGTATTAATCCGGCGGTGCTAACGATCTCGGTCAACCCTTACACTAACACAGCGGTCCTCGCTAACACAGCGGTCCTCGCTAACACAGCGGTCCTCGCTAACACAGCGGTCCTCGCTAACACAGCGGTCCTCGCTAACACAGCGGTCCTCGCTAACACAGCTGTCCTCGCTAACACAGCGGTCCTCGCTAACACAGCTGTCCTCGCTAACACAGCGGTCCTCGCTAACACAGCGGTCCTCGCTAACACAGCGGTCCTCGCTAACACAGCGGTCCTCGCTAACACAGCGGTCCTCGCTAACACAGCGGTCCTCGCTAACACAGCGGTCCTCCCTAACACAGCGGTCCTCGCTAACACAGCGGTCCTCGCTAACACAGCGGTCCTCGCTAACACAGGACCTCACTCTCACTCTAAACTCATCAACTTGAGTAAGTTGTGGGCGCAAATGTAAACACTTTTTCGGTCAAGAAAAAGAGTAAATGTAAATTCCCCCCTGACCAGTGAGCACCAGGTGTAGGTAGACCCTCGGTAGACTCGGAGGACAACACAACTCATCAGTGTCATATTGTCCAAGTAAACCACAAAATAGTCCTGTATTATAGATTATTAAGGGGAAACTGTCAAGAGTCTTATCTCATGAGATTGTTGTCCTGTCTATATATTAACCAGTTGTCCTGTTGTCCTGTTTATATAGAGTAAAATATTGGCCGGTGGCGACGGGCCTGTGGCTCGTCGGGCCCATCGTGCAGGCGCAGCAGGGCGGGAAGGGAGTGGCGGAGATGCAAGGGGGAAATAGGAAGGCTACAGGGATGATCCCTACCGTGGTCAAGTCCCTCACCAGCACCAGGTACCCCCTCACCAGCACCAGGTACCCCCTCACCAGGACCAGGTACCTCCTCACCAGGACCAGGTACCCCCTCACCAGCACCAGGTACCCCCTCACCAGCACCAGGTACCCCTTCACCAGCACCAGGTACCCCCTCACCAGCACCAGGTACCCCCTCACCAGCACCAGGTACCCCTTCACCAGCACCAGGTACCCCCTCACCAGCACCAGGTACCCCCTCACCAGCACCAGGTACCCCCTCAAAAGCACCAGGTACCCCCTCACCAGCACCAGGTACCCCCTCAAAAGCACCAGGTACCCCCTCACCAGCACCAGGTACCCCCTCACCAGCACCAGGTACCCCCTCACCAGGACCAGGTACCTCCTCACCAGGACCAGGTACCCCCTCACCAGCACCAGGTACCCCCTCACCAGCACCAGGTACCCCCTCACCAGCACCAGGTACCCCGTCACCAGCACCAGGTACCCCCTCACCAGCACCAGGTACCCCCTCACCAGCACCAGGTACCCCCTCACCAGCACCAGGTACCCCCTCACCAGCACCAGGTACCCCCTCAAAAGCACCAGGTACCCCCTCACCAGCACCAGGTACCCCTCACCAGCACCAGGTACCCCCTCACCAGCACCAGGTACCCCCTCACCAGCACCAGGTACCCCCTCACCAGCACCAGGTACCCCCTCACCAGCACCAGGTACCCCCTCACCAGCACCAGGTACCCCCTCACCAGCACCAGGTACCCCCTCAAAAGCACCAGGTACCCCCTCACCAGCACCAGGTACCCCTCACCAGCACCAGGTACCCCCACACCAGCACCTGGTACCCCTCACCAGCACCAGGTACCCCTTCACCAGCACCAGGTACCCCTTCACCAGCACCAGGTACCCCTTCACCAGCACCAGGTACCCCCTCACCAGCACCAGGTACCCCCTCACCAGCACCAGGTACCCCCTCACCAGCACCAGGTACCCCCTCACCAGCACCAGGTACCCCCTCACCAGCACCAGGTACCCCCTCACCAGCACCAGGTACCCCCACACCAGCACCAGGTACCCCTCACCAGCACCAGGTACCCCTCACCTGGGTGGCGTCAAGGCTGTACACAGGTATTAAACACCATCATAACACAACTCTCTACATTCTAAAAGTGGTTCTATCAATTAATTATAGCAACACTGAGGTTAAAGTGTCAAAGTTCTTCATAATCTCAGTGGTTATTGTGGTTTATTATAATGTATAATTATTAAAAAAAAGGTGTTTTGTAAATCTGTATTTTATTAGAGATAATATATATATTCATATATCAAAATCGACCTTTATTTGTACTTTTTTGGTAAACAAGATGTGAGAAATTCCTGTAGCATGGAGGGACACTGCTGACTCTGGAGGGTCACTGCTGAATCTGGAGGGTCACTGCTGACTGTGGAGGGACACTGCTGACTGTGGAGGGTCACTGCTGAATCTGGAGGGTGATTGCTGACTGTGGAGGGTCACTGCTGACTGTGGAGGGACACTGCTGGCTGTGGAGGGTCACTGCTGACTGTGGAGGGACACTGCTGACTGTGGAGGGTCACTGCTGACTGTGGAGGGACACTGCTGACTGTGGAGGGGTCACTGCTGACTCTGGAGGGTCACTGCTGACTGTGGAGGGGTCACTGCTGACTGTGGAGGGACACTGCTGACTGTGGAGGGTCACTGCTGACTGTGGAGGGACACTGCTGACTGTGGAGGGTCACTACTGACTGTGGAGGGTCACTGCTGACTGTGGAGGGTCACTGCTGATTGTGGAGGGTCACTACTGACTGTGGAGGGACACTGCTGACTGTGGAGGGTCACTGCTGACTGTGGAGGGTCACTGCTGACTGTGGAGGGACACTGCTGACTGTGGAGGGGTCACTGCTGACTCTGGAGGGACACTGCTGACTGTGGAGGGTCACTGCTGACTCTGGAGGGTCACTGCTGACTCTGGAGGGTCACTGCTGACTCTGGAGGGACACTGCTGACTGTGGAGGGTCACTGCTGACTGTGGAGGGTCACTGCTGACTGTGGAGGGTCACTGCTGACTGTGGAGGGACACTGCTGACTGTGGAGGGGTCACTGCTGACTCTGGAGGGACACTGCTGACTGTGGAGGGTCACTGCTGACTCTGGAGGGTCACTGCTGACTGTGGAGGGTCACTGCTGACTGTGGAGGGGTCACTGCTGACTGTGGAGGGACACTGCTGACTGTGGAGGGTCACTGCTGACTGTGGAGGGGTCACTGCTGACTGTGGAGGGACACTGCTGACTGTGGAGGGTCACTGCTGACTGTGGAGGGACACTGCTGACTGTGGAGGGTCACTACTGACTGTGGAGGGTCACTGCTGACTGTGGAGGGTCACTGCTGATTGTGGAGGGTCACTACTGACTGTGGAGGGACACTGCTGACTCTGGAGGGTCACTGCTGACTGTGGAGGGTCACTGCTGACTGTGAAGGATCAGTATTGTCATACTGGCTTAAAACTTTCTACTGAGAATTGTCTCTCCTTGTTCTAGTGACAACACATTTGTGCTGCCTGCGAATTGTTCACTAGAAACATGAAATTTTAGGAAGCGAAAAGGAGGTTGCATTGTTGAAGAGTTTCTAACCCTAAAACTGCACCATTAACTTGCCCCTTAACCTATTAAAGGGAGAGTGACTTTCTATATGCAACTTCTTAAGTTAGTTATAATTAAAATCATTTATTGTTAATAAGGACTCATGAACAAAACTCATTTTTACTGTCACAACGTCTGCCTAAAATGTATATGTGTTTAGCATTATATGTCTGATGACAATAGATCTGTAACGAGCATCATTAGCAATCTAAGGTTTAAATCCTGTAACCACTGACTAGCAGCAAATGCCCAGATAATGTACTCACCTAGTTGTGCTACTGGCAGTTGAGCTTAGGCTCTTTGGTCCCGCTTCTCAACTGTCAAATCAACTGATGTACAGGTTCCTGAGCCTACTGGGCTCCATCATATCTATATTTGAAACTGGGTATAGAGTCAGCCTCCACCACATCACTGGCTAACGCATTCCATTTGTTAACTACTTTGAATATGTAAGGTAGACCAAATTAACATTAACTAAAAATAGGGAATTTCTTAGCATTTTATACATGTATGCTCAGGACATCACTACATGTAGCTGCAGTACATTGCAGTAGGAGTTAAGCAATATACAATAGTGACTGAAAAGCAAAAAGGGCTTTTTATTATTATAAACTGAAAACCAGTCAAAAATATATTTATTTTTCCGTATACTAAGAGTCAAGCAATACTCTCTCTTACATCATCAAAAATGTCAACATTAACATTGTTTTTAAGACGTTCACACAGTGAAGTCTTGTCTTATCAAGAGGTCCGTGACTTCACCCGCAGGACGTGTCTGAGCGGGTGTCTCTGACCTTGCCAAGATTGCGAATATTTGTACATTTGGTCAGACAGGAAAAGATCTTGCTAAATGTTATGTGCAACATAAATATTCAATAAGAACTAGACAGAAGATGAATGTAATATTCCTGTATGAAAGATCAACCAATCATTCTATTTATTAGGACTCACCAAGGTGTGTTACTTTCAACTATTGATTCTTTTGAGAGTAAGAATCAATTCTTTCAATCAATTCAATTCTTTTGAGAGAAAGAAGAATCAATTCTTTCAATCAATTCAATTCTTTTGAGAGAAAGAATCAATTCTTTCAATCAATTCAATTCTCTTGAGAGAAACAGTCAATTCAAAGAAAGCCTGATTCTGTTAGAATTAGGCTTTATCAGTCATTGTAGTAGAACACTTAATACCAGTCATGGAATTTTGTCAAGATACACTCAATATTTTCAAACAAAGTTGCTGGAATGTTTAAACTGTCTTAGTTTTATTTTTTTCTCTGACCCAAATTATTTAAGCTACAGTTTTAGCTTCTGTCATTGGTGTTGTTACTGAAGCATTGTCGCCCCTACAGTATCATGTGTAATCAAGACAGCTCTCTTAATTTATTTCTTAACCCCTCGTTGTAATGTACTGTAGCTACCTGTAATGATGACCTAAGTGTAATTTTTTTAAATGCTAAGGAAATCTTCAATGTTTTAAGCTAGTTTTCATTTGGTCTACCCTATATTATGTGGGCCTTTGCTGCTAGTTAGTGGTTATGGGAGATTTTATTGATCACTTTGTCCCTATAAGTGTTCAACACTATATTGATTGTAGCCGCCGGAGGCGGTCAGTTTATTGTGCACCCCATACTCATCCTGTGAGCGATAGCGCAAAAAGGATTACAGAGGGCACAAAAGGTCTTTATCAGACCTCAACGGAGATTATTACATAAACAATTTCATCTATCCTTCACACCTTATAGTTACAATGTCAGCTAGTTATAGAAAATGTTCTATTTCAAGAGCTATATATTTACAGTAAGTCATTACACATTAATGGTGGGTCTTATCGCTAATACGTAATTGTTTGAGCCATGGGAATATTACAGTCATTGGGGAGCTGCTGTTTATTATTAGTCTTCACAATACACTACTTGTTTCTTAATCTCATATGTCGTTTATCTACTGGAAGCGAAATATGGATACAGTGCAAGGATTTCAGGTATTTTATCCTTAGTAATAAGATGGTTTGCCATTTCATACAACGTGAGTTTAGATTTATCTCTAAATGGCTCAATTTTACTACAGTCCAAGATATAATGTTCGAGTGTGTGTCCCTGTCTTTGTCCACACACTTTACACTTTACTTCATCTAGATCCCTATACAAGCCCAACTGCCAGAGATACTTGTAGCCAAGTCTTATTCGAGCTGTGACAACGTCTGTTAGTCTGCTGATTTTGTTACTTGCCCCATACACATGTTTTACTTGACACATTTCATTGTGATGAACAATGGACCTGCTAGTTCCAGTTTGCACTGTTCTGCTTTCTTCAAATTCATCCAGGAGTTCTCGTCTAATGACACTTTTAAGGGATCTATTTGATAACTCAAGATTTCGTTCAACACTGTCTTTATTTACTGCAACCTTAGCAAGGGCGTCAACTTTATCATGTTCCTGCAAGCCAATGTGAGATGGAATCCACAATATTTTGATATATAACCCCCCCTTGTTAAGTATTTGTATATATCTATGTCTGGTTTCTGAGACAAGCACGTTATTACTTGATTGCAAACTATTTATTGCTAATAGACAGGAAAGGGAGTCAGAAATAATTAAACTGTAATTTCGAGTGCTACCAGTATTGCTACCAACCCAGATTGCATTGTGGATATAAGAGTTACTAATTCTTACATTCCTTTACATTGTGCTGCCATCGGGCTGATGAGCAATAACAGCACTTTCTGCCCTCCCTGTAGCTGTATTGAGTGATCTGTCAGTGTAAATGGTCTGTGCGATGTTATTTTTAGTTTGTATATTGTGAATGTGTTCTATGGTGCTTAATTTAGCAGCAAGCTGAGCATGAGGGTTGTTTGTGATTAGTTTCTTGGTGGGGTATGCAGGCGTCAGGATGTCAAAAGGTACTATCTGCCAGGGTGGAAGGAAGTGCTGTACTCTTTCATCTGTATATACATCGTGCAGTCCCATCATTTTAATATGAGTGGCTGTTCTTTGAATCCATTTAGACTCGCTGGTTCCATTACGTATGTGTTCTAACAGTTCAACTGACACAATGTTGCTTTTGTTATCACGCAGAAGCTTTAGTCCCATCATAAGATTGATTTCAAATATTCTATCTTGAATGCTAGGTATATTTAGTTCTTTCCGCATATTGAGAACTTTGGTAGT